TACCTACTGCAAACAGGTATTTTACTTTACATTATTTTAAATGTAAATGGAGATATTCAACATAACTGCTAAAGGCATGCAATATAAACACCTAATTCTTCCGACTTACGAAAAAAAATTAGAAAAATCAACATAAAATCAGGACAGGTCTTAACTGGATCAAGTGACAGCTCCAACTTCTCTATTTATGAGTAGGTAACAGGTAACTGTTTAGCTTTGTATCTTCTTTAGTTGGTAGTAACCAACTGATAGCAAACATCCTGAAGATATTTTGAAATGTTTTGTGTCCTACTGCAGCGAAGCACCTCAGAACAAACCTAACACAGCTGCTGGGCTGCATTTTGCAAATATGCTCACCCTGTTGTACGTGAACTAATCCAGGGGCTGTACTCTTCTGTTTTATTTGCTCAGATCTCTACTAAGTAACCTCTCAGGACCAAAGCCTACAAGCAGTACCAATCCGTACAACTGCTCTTCTGCTGAATGCTAATACACACAACAATTGCTTGCAACATAAGAAACTTAGAAGGCAAATAAAAAGCCATGCTAAATATTATTAAGCAACTATCACTGGGTGCAATCTTAAATTGATCTGGGGAAGATGCTATTATGATGAAAAAACACTGATTAATCTGTTGAGATACTGCACTTAAATCTCATGCCTGTATGCTTTCCTGACTGGAGGCTGGGGGGTCACAAACAAATTTCTCTGTTCTAAAGAAATGGCACCAAGTTTACAAGGAAAAAAAAAGCAGAATTTTTGAGACACAGTTAAAAGGAAATAAAAAAATCATACTAAAGGAAGGAGTAACAGTAAGAACGTTTTCAATGGCACTAGAGGATATTTATGACTACATTACAAACTAACGTACACCTTGCAGATTATCACAGGAACTTCAATAATTTTGAAAAAAAAAACCAGCTTGGAATAAATAGGAGGGGGTAAAAAAAAAGAAAAAGAGGAAAAAAAAAAAAAAAAAGGCAGGCATGGAGCAACTGTATAGATGTATTAGTAGGGGCTGGATATTTTCGAGTACCTAGTGTATACTGTGCCAAAGAGAAATATATGAAGGATTAAATTCTGTACCAAAACATTCCATTTACCAAAAAAATTTGGTAAGCCCGTGCCAGGGTAAGGTCAGTTTGCCAGTCAAGTTATACAGGCTTCCCTTGCTCAAATGATGAAGCTTAGTGCAGGAGAAAAGGAATGTCTTTTTGTTGTGGTTGTTTCATTTTTTCTTTCATGCAACTAATAAGACTTATATATCCCAAATTCATATATACTGCTGAAAGTATGAGAAAATGACTTTTACTGGCAAAGCAGCATCTGAAAAAACAGTAACGACTCCAACCATTCCAAATGTGAATTATGTTGTGAAGAGTTTAAGGATCAGAACCAATTCCAACAAATCATTGACACAGAGAAACAGGGCTCTACTGTCCATCGGTTACACACAGCCAATACCATTTTGTTAAAAAAACCCCTCAAGTGGACCTTTTCAACTTTTGATCTGAAATACAATCTAATTTATACGCTCTGAGACAAAAGGTCAGGGGGAATAAGTAGAAATAATTTTCCATAGGTGAGTATACTTAAAATTTTGTTGAAGAAAATATACAATGCCACACTTAGAAATCTATTTTTACATTTTGAGGACTAAAAGTCTAAATTTTAAAATAAAATATACAATTCCATTGGGTGGGGGGAGAGGAAACACTGTAAAAACAACTAACAATACCTTCAACATAGGTCCCTCAAATATAATGATAATGAAGTGGTGCTGTGTAGATTGGACTTCACAAAACCATATAGTGTTTCTCTTTGCTACAGGCAAGACCAACTCTACACCTGACATGTTTGTCTAATCTTTTCTTAGGTGGTCTTCAGTAATGAAGTCAAGGCAACCTATTCCATATCATCTATTACAGTTGTTTCATTATATTTGCTTTCCAAAAGTTTTTCCTACTGTTTAAGATGAACCTATCCTACTGTATTGAGTCCCTTATTCTCGTCTTACCCAGCACAGAAACAAAATGCTTTCTACATATCTTGAACTTAATTCTGTGTTCTTCAAACTAAAGACTCCTCTATCATTACACGCAACTGATCACTAATTTCACGTTAAAGTAAGCAGATACATTCAACAGAAGAGAATTAAATCTTCTAAAATTAGCTTCCCCAAAACCAAAAAGATTAATTTGGTGGGTTTTATACAGTACATATAACACTTTCCTCCAAAAATTGGGCTGCACTGGAAAAACATCATCTATGTCGGAAGAAAAGAGAAAAAAAAAGTATGTCCTAAGTCTTCTGTCAGAGCCACACAAATCTTAATATTTTCAACAAAAGCATCATATAAAATTTGAATATGAATTTCCTAAAAAAGCGCTTTTCTGCACCCCCATGAAAGATCCCAAGTCAAAAGCACCTATTTATGACTTCTAAAAGCAAAGAAGTAAACGTTTCAGAGTGATGGACAATTTTTCTGGATGAAGCCCACAGATGATTTGGCAAAATCACGTGTTTAGTAGCAGCAGAGGCCATTAACATAGACTAAACACTTTTCTTTATGAGGACCTCATGAAAAATGCTGCAGATTCTCTGCAGTGCCTATTGGACAGAGGTTACTGGACATGAATTATAAATACATAATAGAACTAGTTAACATCAGTGACAGCTGTAGTTTTGAGAATAATATGTTAACTAGATTACAATTTCCAGTTACTGTTTCATTGAATATTCAACTTGATGGGTGGCACCTCGAAATAAAAGTACAAAACATACTGCTCATGTCCGTACATTATTACATTAAATAGCTGCTTGTAGATGAATACAGCTGTATATATCAACACAGTTATTAATCTGATGCTACAATTTATTTTTTTAAAATCTACAATGATATCCTGTATCTCATCCTGAGTGGCTTTATTTCTGTCATTTTTTTTTGTTTTTTTTTTAATAACCATATATATTATCTATGATATCTTGAGCTCAGTCTTAAATAGGAACGAACTAGTGTAGATCCATCTGAGATATCTCAGCAGAACATTAGTCACTCTGCAACAAGTGCACAACTTGAGAAGAGCAAAGGTCCAATCAAGGAGCAGCAGATAGTGGAGGGAAAGGGAACTTCACAAAAAAACTTAGGAGAAACCTTATCTCAAAGAGAAAAGTACATTCTTATTGCTTTTCTTCACAGGTCCTCTCCCACAATAATGAAAATGATGCAACTGTTACAACTACCACACTGTGGGTTGACTGACAAAGCACCTTTGCATTATTAACTGCCACTCTAATTAAATATGTATTGCACAGATGGAACTGTAATTCCACCATATTCCCACCCAATGGGAGCCTATCATTGCCTTTAGTGAAGCTCAAGTCTCACTCTAAAATGGTACAATTCTTAGCCAAAAACACAAATGGTGATGAAAAATTCCCTTGTGGAACAATCCCATCTGTCAAACACACCAGTATTATTTGGTTCATCTAAGATTTTGAACCAAGCTGTTGTAATATTAAAAATTCAGAAAGTATCCACAAAGTGCCTGCACAATGTATGCGACACAACAATATTTCATTTAAATTGCAAACATGTCTTTTTAAGACTTATGTGAGCCTTTATATTATGTCCCAGAGTGAAAAAAACTTAATGTAGTAATGTGCCTTGTAATTGCAAAAGCAGATGCAGCAGGTTAGATTAAAGATGCAACGAAGTTTGGCTGTTTTGCAGAAAATACATCACTATACAAACTACAGTTCTGGTTTGGAATATGAGAGTTTTGTCATAATTCATAAATTATGTCACCGCCTTTTTAGCAGTCCACAGAACAGGCAAGAAACAAATGTAATACTTTTTAGCAAATGATGATGAAGATTAACAACTTTGTCAAAATACTTAACACTGCAATGCTATTATCAGCATACTGAGGACTTTTGTAAACAATGACATCAGCTTGAACTAAAACAGGGAAAGAAGCCAGAAGCGGTTATTAACTCCAACACACAATTTACGTGACATACATGAATACAGGAGCAAAAATGTCTACAAATACCAAAGCAGACATGAACGTACAAGAACGTGGAGTACTCATATGAAGAAAAACAAAACTGATAAAGATCACCAGCACAGATGACAAGAAATTCATAAGTTTTTATTTTATACCTTTCTCGTTCTGGTGAATGCAAACTAGTATCTGGTCTCAAGCAGTTGGTACTAGCACTCCTAGCCCTGTCAAGGGAGGGCTGTAGTTCACTAGTGCCAGTGCATTGCATCCAATGGTAGAAGAGAAAGAAAAAGAAAACAAAGAAAGGAATACAATGTTAGATATTAACTCATAAAATAATGCTCTCTTTACAGAAAATGTAGAATCACAATGATTTAATTAAGGAAAACGTAAAAAAGCTGACTGGATGATAGTGCCAAATTTTTTTTTAGAAAATAAAAGCAAATGAAAGACTGCTAGAAATTTTTTGCTAAGATTGTTGAAATGTTTAAAACTGAATGAGACAGAACAACATCCACTTGTAAGAAAGTGGAATGAGAAATACCAGACAATAAAATTAAATCCTTAACAGCAGTAAATCTTAAGCCAACATAAAAGGATGTGATACACTATATATTACGTGAAATCACTTTACAGTGAAGCTCATTTATTCTGCAAATCCATACTAGATACCAAACAGGAGTGGGGATTAATCCTCTGTTTCTTACCTAACCAGTAGATCATCTCCAAATTTCGGTATTTGTGAATTAAGGCAATCTCGAAGGAGTGAAATATCCTGTCTAATCACGGATTTGGTCTTAGCGCATGCAGGAAGAGTTGAGCTTTGTAAATTAAAATTATTTAAACAAAATGATAATAAATTTGACATGTAACCAAAATCTTATACAGAAACAAAATAATGTAACAAAGAAAAACATGCAACATATAATTTTAACAGTGAAGACAACTCTACCTAATACAAAGTTGTTTGGTTCTTTTTTTTTTTTAAAGTAGGGGTTAATTTAAACAGTTACATGGAGTTATTTTAGGTTTATATCCCTTATCTGTCAGTTATAAAAACTGTATGAAACGTTATTTTTTTTTAAAGAAGGCAAGACTATTTATTTTTTTAAAAAGGAACTAACTACTTAAAGGGGACTCTAAACACTTCTTACCTGTATAGGTTCCAATGAATACCATTTTCTAGTAAAGGCATCTTGGGTGGTAAAGTTTTATAGTGCCTAACAGAACTTCTTGAATGTGGTGGAACAGAAAACACACAACACCACAAAAACATGCCAGAAATAAAAAGACAGGTAAAGGTAAGCCAAGACTGACCAGAACGTAAAATAAATGCATAATATTCCAGTACATTTAATAGCTGTATGAGTAGATTTCTCCATATCTGTTTTTTTCAACTACTGTGACAGCTATCTGGGGGATAAATTTTTGAATTTACACTTTTGCTAATACATTCCATGAGCTCATGACAATACTAGTACAACTCAGATTTTTTCCTTGTAATGGAAGTAATCTAAATTTCATTTATACAGGTTTTTAATTAAAATATACAAGCTGTTGTAGAGGATTAGGTTGATATAAAACTTGGTTTTTTTATTTCTCTTAGTGATGCCTTACTTAAATCTTCAGAGACTTTAACCTCTTCAGCAGCTAAGCACGAAAAGCTTGCTAAAACAGTGATATATAGTATCACAAACTTAATTATAGATGTATTACCATCTGGCATTTTTGAATGTGGAAGTCTTTTGGAAGTCGTGCATCAGCTTCAAACTCTAACAGTAATTAAATGCTATTAATAATAAGCTAATAATTAGCTAATAATTCATAAATAATTACTAATAATCTAATTAAAAAGCCAGCACAGCAGCACTCTGAGATGTTACATGATAACTGTCTAATATCGTCACTTACAGTACATGACATTTTAGAACGGGAAATGTTTGCTTTATTATCCAGCTCTACCCAATGAACAAGGGAGAAACATAAAGGTAGATAGTGGCTGCCGAATGGGAATCACGGCCATTTAATGCTTAAGGGTTAATAACCAAGTTCTAACAATTTTCCACATACCCTATCAGGACACAGCCGCGGTGCTATTAGCAGAAGGACCAGCAGCCTTGAGGATTTTGCAGCTTCAAGAATAGTCTGTCCTGATAGGACATTTTGATTCCTATTAAGGCTTGGACCGAGGCACAACAGATCAACGTTACAAACCCGGTTGTGTCGCAGACAGATGAAACAACTCTCTGCTTGGAAACCATAGCGTTTGTAAAACCCTGAGGGATTTAACAGAGGAGGTTTGACCCTTCTTGTCCAGGTTTAGTGATCATCACTGCTGGCATCTCTACCAGAGGTCACTGCGATGTTGCAAAGTTGGAATAAAGGAATGGTTGTCCACCAGGTCAATCCTGGCATACGGGCAGATATTACCTATCAAAGTGGGTGCAACCTAAGATGTGGAATGTGACAACCCATGGTCTATGGTATAGGTACACACGTCCTTCCACCGTTTCTGCTATTAGTTGCATACAGATCAACAGGATGGACAGCTAGGACTAGTATTCTAACCTAACCATGTATCTTAACTTTGTAGCTTGGACTATCTCATATTAATTTCTTTCATTTAACATGAAACAATTAACATTTCTTTCCCATTTTAAGCTGAAGCTGTCTCAACAATTAATTAAAACATTATTCAGCAAGCTGTCTGAAAACAAGGATAAAGCCTTATAGTATTTCTAACTATAAATGTCAAGCCACTACAAATCAGAAAGGACATAAGATGGCAACCAATTCACAGACCAAATTTTTGTTGAAAGGGTTTTTGAGAATATTCAGTCAAGGATGGATATTGGCAATTTTCTGGATATTATTCAAATCTGGTTTAGGCTGTATAAGCCTGAGAGTTAAATTTAAAAAGCAATTTATTGTCTTCTATTGCCCTTATATTCACCTTCAATACGTTATTAAAAGTACCATTCTGTTTTATAGTATACCATTACTGTTACTTTAAAGGGGTGAATTTTTTACTTTTCTTGATCATACAAAATAACAGCAACAATCAGAATAATGAAAAAGGTAAGAAAGGGCTGTAGTTTCTGAATTCAGCGTAGCTCTTACCTAACTTTATTGCTGTCCCTGCACAATTTTTAGCTGGTTAACTGGCCAGACAGGTTAGTAGCTTTGTAACACTATTGGAAATCTATAGTGGCTGGGCAAAGTACATCAAAAGTTCATAATACAATATTTACTTTCTGAATTAAGTGAGAATTTAAACATTGCCATTGAAGAATTTTAATTTAAATTAATTAAGAGGGAAAGGAAAAAGCACAGAGCTGGGAGCAAGAAGGAGGGTGAAGCTATAGATGTAGTAGTAGATGTAGTAGTAGAAAGAGAAAGGCCATAGGAAGGAGGCAGGAAAAATTGCTATTAGATGACAATAAATGGACATAAAATAACAGGGAGTGAAATAAATGTTTAACCTTGAAAACCTAAAATGTTGAGGAAAAAGCTTTTTTAGCTGAAGTATGACAACTAAACTCTGTCTACCAATCATAAAAACTTAAATTTTAATTTAACAGCTTCACTGATGCACAGCTTTTTTTAAAGTTTTTGTATTTATTATTTTACCTTTATACTACTGTGCCTTATAACAGAACCCTATCACAGCATCTTTGATGCTGTTTCAGATTTGATTAAAAGAGTTAAAGCAACCAAAGGCTTATGAAAAAAAACCCCCACTACTCTGTTGGGGAAAATCTGACACCAAGTAAATGACTAAGTGCATTTGGCTACATGGTTTTAAAGGTTTCATGGTTTTAAACATACAGCACTGACGTCAAACTCGCTAATTAGCAACATCCAGATCCCGAACAGAAAAACGGTTAACTACTTGGTTGGAGTAGTTGAATGGTTAACTACTTCCACCTACATTCTTACTAGTTCAAAATGGAAGATTTTCTACACAATCTGACATGTACTTTTAACAAGGTTAACAGACGTGGTGAAAAAAAAGGGAGGGGAGGCAAAATTAGATTTGTTAGATAAAGATATTTCAGTCCCATTTAGTTTTACAATATTGGCAAGAGTTGAGACAGGAAGCTCCAAGCTTTGGAACAAGAGATTAATGAAGACTGAAGATGAGCCCAAACTACAAAGTTTATGCCTGGATCAAATTTATAGCACAATTTTTGGATGCAAACCCAGGTAATACGAGACCCCTTAAATATGGGGTTCCCAGTGAGCCCTCATTAATCACTGTTCATTCCTCTACAAGTGACCAAAATCAGCATGAGATTAGGTGTCACAACAAGTAAAGATTATTGGCTTGTGCACAGCTGTAACATAAACATAAAAATGCAAACAAAAGAAAACATAAAACCAACTAAAAATGAATGTTTAAAACTATAACAACACTGTCATGCATTGGGAGATCAGGACTTCTGTGACTAGACAGAAAGTCTACCACAAATTACAACTGCAGTATCAGAATTTCTTCAACTGCTTTAATCCTTACTACCGAAGTTCACAAACATATATATATATACATCTCAATCTGATTTAAAACGAACAAAAAAGAACAACCGACACCTGGATCACAATGTACTAGGAAGTTCTTTACTTCCTGGGACTGAACACCGCTATGGAAAAAAGTTGGGCACACAAAGTATAGAAAACTGACCAGATGTGTTCATGATTACCAAATTCCTGTATTTACCTGATGGTATGTAGGCACTCTGCACTTCTTCCTCGTTTTGCTCTGGGCAGCATAAGAAGCTCACTGCACAGACAGGATGGGTGGTGAGTGAAACAGATATAATTATGAAGCATTAGATGACATGGGTTATGCCAATGATACGCAAATGAAAACATAAAAAGAAACAAGAAGCTTTCACCCGGATAGATAGTCTGACAGCGTTGAAACCCAGACTGCACTTCTCAAAGAATATGAGCTGAAAAATGCCGGTGATAACTACATTTTCAACAAATTCCTTTTAGCGTGGCACCTAATTTTGCGGGGTTTCTCCTTTTAAAATTCAGAAGTACCGTTTCAGATCTCTTCACGACAAAAGGAAACCACAAACCAGCTACATTTTTCTAATAACCTCCTTTCTCATGAACTATTTCATGAAGAAATACTTCAGGGAAAAAAAAAAGAATGATGCTTGTTGTTTGTTTGTTAGTTTTAGTTCCTCAGCCACAAACATACATGAAGAAGCAGGGAGGGTTTGCTACTAATTTATTGCAGATCAGTTTATGGGAAGAGTAACCAGTCACCCTTTTGGGAAAAACAAAAATATATGTTCACTGGAAATATTACATTTGGCCAAAAAATAAATTGACTCATAGCTCTTGACAGTATTTTGTAATGCAATCCTAAAGAAATAAAAAAACCCTGCTATTCAGCCATCAGACTTTTTGTTTCTTATTGTTTCCAATTAACAAAGTCCGCTGTCTATTCTATTTTTCATTTACTATAACCAAACACATGCTACAGCCAGCAAGATGGTAAAATTAATACATATTTATGCCTATGGTAAATATGACTATGATATGAAATATCCCTTGAATTAATCTTGTAGTTTTACGCACTTCAACACAATCAGAAAGACCAAACCTCCTAATTATCATAAATATGAAATTAAAGCTAAACTTCATGGAAACATGCTATTTTAAAAGAAGCAGGGAATCATATGAAGTACTATGGTGACAAAGAGAGAAAAGATTACAAAATAGATAAAGCAGCAGTTGTTCAATGTGTTTTGTGCTTCATGCCATTATAAAATGTCCCATTTAACTGATGCAGTATAGGTAATATTTATCTAAAATTCTAAACTGGGCAGCTTGAAATAATGGCTTGTGAGTCACGTGTGAGACTTGACTTTGCATCTGGAACCACTAGCCTGATTTTGATGCAACAAAATGTATTAAGCTTGAACTGAATTGTTGTGGGTTTTTTAAGCAAAATTTCCATTCATAAGCTCAGAGGACTGACAGAATTTATATGCAGGTTTCCAAATTACAAATAAACATGAATTTTAGGAAAAAAAGAAGTAGATGGCAAGTCCACATTAAATCATAGGGTACTTTGTTAATATTTACTCTGCCTTTGCTAAGCCAAAGAGTACTTATTGCAATTGTCCCACAGCAAACAGTAATATAAAATTCATCCAGAAAAGAGATATAAGATAGCAAATCCACCATGAAATCTTCAAGTTAAAAAAACAAAGCAAAAGAATCCATCACAGTAGATTACTGATAATATAAGAAGACACTCACATTTCTATGATAAATTAAGTCTGGTTTGGAGACATTTAAAATAAAGATTATTATTCTTCTAAAACAAGTGTTTTAGAAGTATTTTAATACTCACATTAACAGATTTTATTCAGGAATAAAAGAAACACTAAAAAAAATGAAAAGGGTCATGCCCTTGAAAATTGGATCATGATCCTAAATTCAGACAAAAGTATACTGCTTAGCTAGATTTCCTATTAAAAAGCTTTTCCTAATGGATTTATATATATCCACACACCTACACACATGCATATATGTATGTAAATATATATAAAAAAGGTGAAGTGGACAAATCCATTCCACTGGAAATTTACCATACCAGATGCTTTAGTAAGAGACTATAATAACTATTTTTACAAAGATCTATTCAGAATATCCAATTTTAATTTGGGACTAATGACAGATCATTGAGAAAATGATCAAAAGTAATCAGCAACTGTAATATTTGCCATGTAACTAATGGGGTAATTACTCACCTTTCAAACCAAATTTATGTTAGGTATCTACATAAACGTACTTGTTTAGATGGAAGGGTTCAGTAAATGAACAACACATAATACTTATACTACTATTGACACTAATACATAATACTGAATAAAGATATTTTTTTAAAATCCTTGGATGTGATAGAGAATCTTCCTCGACAAAAGCTGGTTTTGGTCTTCCCTATGATGCTGGTCTTATGTACTGAGAGACACTGAAACCTGCAAGAGTTAAACAGTCTCCACAACTGAAGAAATCTAGGGGAAAAAGGAAAACAGGAAAAAGGAGACCACTGCAGACAAGATTATTACTCAGAAGAGTAAGTACATGGACCTGTCTTTAAATCCTGTAAATAAGCCACGTACATCCTTCATGTCTGATCTTTAAACTTCTGAAAAGAGTTTTCTGAACACTGAAAAGAACTGAAGACTGCGTGTTACTGCTCTGAACAAATCCAGCAGCCGATTGCTGCTGTGGATCTGGTCTGATGGCTCATCTCCAAGAAAGCCTCAAGGCAAGCCCTGCTCTCCAAGCATAATCCACGCAGATAATCATCATTTATATCATGTTTTGAGGCTTTACTGGAAGAAAAATATCTAGACAGTTAACTGACTATATTTATTTCTACTGACAAAAGCTACTTTTTAATGTCTCTTCCCCTTCAGATCTGCTGACTAAGAAATCTATTCAATAAATATATTCAGGAAGCTTTTGAATATATCACTACTTACTTAATAACAAGAAACATTTGCAACATGTGGAAATTACTTGAATCACCTTAACTATAAATCTGACTACTACATTTAAAAAGCATTTCAATTCACCTCTGAAAGGAAATTCAGTACCATAATCCAACTTAGATAATTCTGTACATACTCCTTGCTTATAAAGTTGAATTTTAAAATGTTCCAAATAACTCATTAATTCTCATATGTATGTTATCATACTAAAAAAGCAAAACAGGCTACATTCTATAAAAAACTGAAGTAGTTAAACTGCAAAAGCCATCTGTTATTCAATTTCTATGTTGCTTCAAAACTGGACAAAGAGTTCCAGGGATTTTTATGGTTTATTCTTTACACATTTTCACATCACTATGAAATATATGTGTGTATTAAATTTACTGGATCATTTGCAAAGGTTTTGTCATCCTTACTCATAAAAAATAGTAACTTACTGCAAAAAAAAATAATCCAAAGACATTACTAGGACAATTGATCTGACATAAATGGTAAAAGTCAGCCATTATAATTTAGCTATATGATTTTTTTTGAAGTAAAGAAACAATCCACAAACACTGATAATCTATGTGACTGTCATTATGTTTCCCAAACACTGAACTGAAATAACTTGTAAAAATTTTTTCACCTATAAACTAAACGGAAATTCTCATTTTCTTCCATTTTGTTAGAAAATAATCCTAGATACCTGAAAACAAGCCTAATAGGACAGACCAAGTGTTCTCTGAGGAGCGTAGCCTCTGCACGCATTCCAGGGAGAGATGTGTACGTGTCATGCATCTAAGATTCAAGATTTCTGCTCATTACAAGCACTGCAACTATCCTTGCTATGCTTCAGTACTGTACCAACTTCACCAAAATGTTACAAAAGATGCTGTGAGACTGCATATATAGATGTCTAAAATCTATAAGCACAGGAATGCAAATCATAGCATATATGCAACTCCCAACTAGTAGGAACACATGCCTGGTATTTTGCTGGCTACCAAAACAGATAAATTCTGAGTTACAAGAAGAGCTAGGGCATTCATGAAGATTTATGGTTTTCTAGCAAAAATCTCTGGGCTTCATTCATGAAATAAACAGCAGAATATTCGAGGGCAAACACCCGAGAACTGTTAGTTCAGACACCTACTATTACTGTCAACCCAGCGCACAGTTTTACCAAAAAAGAGGTATAGATAATTTAACCATGACACTAGATTTGTTATTTAGGATGACTTCTCTCCCTTCCCCATTACTATCTTGAAACACTTGAAAATTAGGCAAACTGAGAAAGACATTTCTAAAATTTTTCCCAAGTTCATGCTGACGATGTACCTTTCTTGATCAGACAAATACTGACTATCCATGTCTCTGGATCTGTAATCAGCTGGAGTTCTGGAGGCATCATGGTGTCTAGTTGGAGAACGTGATCTCCTCATTTGATGGATTTCATCTAAACTCCTGAAAGGCAGAAATATGTATGATAATCTTGTTTTTTCATAAATAACACATCTTAATAGATTACAGTACAAATTGGTTGAAGGAAGTTTTTAATCATTAAATTGTTAATACATGACTTCTAAAAATATATTGGATCCTATGATTAAAAAAACCCAAACCCTCTAAGTATAGAAAGCAGCCATTTCTACCATATTTAGAAGTACACGCCTGTTTCCGTGAGCACTGATGGATTCAGTAATGGCATTTTCAAAGCCTGTACTTAAAGAATAACTGAGATAACACAAGAGCTGATAATACCTTGCATGAAAGTAAGTTTTATGCATTTGTAGATTCATAGCCAGATTTCTAAAGCGTTGACCTGGGGCTGTCAACTTTTTGCAGGTATCTCCAAGTATTCTTTAAGCAATTCTGGGATAGGATATGGGAACTTGCAGCAGATTTTATCAATCTCAAACTAAGTGTTATACAAAAGGGTATGATTTTGTATAAATGCAGGTAAGCTCCGACATCCATGACAGTAATTTAAAGCTCTCTTCACATGGAAAAGACAAGAAAAGAAAGTATTACTCAAAGGGCAGATTCTTCTTCTAGTTTAATAACCACTGTTTGAAAAAGAAGCATTAGTTTTTCCAAGTATAAAATGAAAGGATGGGTGGGATTGACTATGAAACATTTCATTTGTGCATTGTGCTTGTAAATAGGAAGATACAACAAGAGCACATACAATTGTTTGCAAAAGCAGAATGCGGAGTTCTCAGTCTCTCTACTACAAAAAAATGAGTCAGTGCCACAGTCTGGTTTATACAGAGCCATACTCTTCTATCTGTTAAGGATGCATTACTGAGAAATGCAACAGCAAGTGATTTGGAGGGTAGTGAAATAGCTTTGTCTGTAAGAACTGATGTAACAGAGGGGGATGGATGCAGGGACTTAAGGACACACAAAATTTCAATGCACAAGAACAGCATATATCGTATGGAGTATAGAAAGGCACGTGGAAAATAAGCAGGTGACTGGTGACAGCCAACATGGCTTCACTAAGGGCAAATTGTGCCTGACAAATTTGGTGGTCTTCTGTGACGATGTTACAGCATTAGTGGATAAGGGGAGAGTAACTGACATCATCTACCTGGACCTGTGGAAAACATCTGACAGTGTCCTGCATGACATCCTTGTCTCTAAATTGGAAAGACATGGATCTAACAGATGGAACACTCAGTGGATAGGGAATTGGCTGGATGGCTGCGGTCAAAGAGTTGCGGTCAATGGCTCAATGCCGAGCAGCAACCAGTGGCAAGTGAAGTCCCTCAGGGGTCAGCACTGGGACTGGTACTATTTAACATCTTTGTTGGAGACATGGATGGTGGGATTGAGCGCACCCTCAGCAAGTTTGCTGACGACACCAAGCTGTGTGGTGCAGTTGACAGCCTGGATGGAAAGGATACAATCCAGAGGCATTTTGACAGGCTTGAGAGGTAGGCCCGTGCAAATCTCATGAAGTTCAACAAGGCCAAGTGCAAGGTCCTGCACACGAGCCAGGGCAATCCCAAGCACAACTACAGGCTGGGCAGAGAATGGATTGAGAGCAGCCCTGAGAAGGACTTGGGGGTATTGGCTGATGAGAAGCTCAACATGAGCTGGCAACGTGTGCTCACAGTGTGGAAAGCTAACTGTATCCTGGACTGCATCAAAAGAAGTGTGGCCAGCAGGGCAAGGGAGGCGGTTCTGCACCTCTGCTCTTGTGAGACCCCACCTGGAGTACTACATCAAGCTCTGGGGACCCCAACATAAGAAGGACATGGACCTATCAAAGCAGGTCCAGAGGAGGCCCATAAAGATGATCAGAGGGCTGGAGCACCTCTCCTGTGAAGACAGGCTGAGAGAGTTGGGCTTGTTCAGCCTGGAGAAGAGAAGGCTCCTGGGACACCTCATAGCAGCCTTTCAGTTCTTAAAAGGGACCTACAGGAAAGATGGAGAGGAACTCTTTATCAGGGAGTGTAGTGATAGGACAAAGGGTCACGGTTTCAATCTGAAAGAGGGTAGATTTAGAATAGATATTAGGAAAAAAATCTTTACTGCGAGGGTGGTGAAAAACTGGAACAGGTTGACCAGACAAGTTGTGGGTGCCCCATCCCTGGAAGTTTTCAAGCCCAGGCTGGATGGGTCTTTGAGGAACCTGGTCTAGTGTGAGGTGTCCCTGCCCACGGCAGGGGGGGTGGAACTAGATGATCTTTAAGGTCCCTTCCAACCTAAACCATTCTATGATTCTTTGAAAGGAAGAAGCAAGATCATCAGTATTCTCAACTGGGAGAAGAAGCTTGTTTTCCAGAATATACCACAATTTTGAAACATCACAGATGTCTGTTATTAAATGACCAGTGATGGAACTCCAAAGAAACAGACACAGAAACAACAGATAAGGACAGTACTGTGGCACAAAATTTTGTACACAAAATTCACCTAAGAAGGGTAGATTTTCAGTATACTACCACAGCTAGTGGGCAATAATGTTGTTAGTGCAATACCTCAAGCTCTTGCAGTAATGCAAAACCAAAGCTTCCTAGAAATTGGAGGAAAGGAAAACTGGTAAAAACTGGTTGATTTTTAGGGTTCCATGAGAGGCTACAAGAGAAGCTTATTGCCCTGCACTATAAAAAAAGCAAAATCAAGTGGGTCAAGTTTTGTGCTTCAACAGTCTGTATGGCACTATTCAAAAAAAGCATAAAGCATGCAAAAGAAGAGCTCACAAAGGATTCTCCTATTAATAGGTTGTCTATTAAAAGCAGTAAATGCAGAAAATAGAGGATTATAAATCACTATATTATTCTGTAAAGTATTTTCTACTTTTACCATTTAAAAGTCACACTATAAATACAATCGGTAATTTCAGCTTGCTGTTACTTCAAAATTAGTTCATTTCATAGTTATTATACAATCTTTACATGCCACTATTTATTACCCTACAAATATACGTAAGTGCCTTCATACAAGATTCCGCTACTGACTGTAAAAACATTTCCAAACCTTTGTATTAGTTACAGTACACAAATGATGAATCAATGAGAAAATATCAGTAAGAAGAGGATTCATCCCGAGTGCTCTTGAATGATTAATAAAAGCATACATCAAGTTCAAATACTACAATATTAAATTCAGACACAAAAATGTTTTAAAATTGTGAAAAATTGCTGAACAAGAGAAAAGTTAATAATGACAGATTATACAAACTTGAAACCACCTAGTGTTTCACTAATTTTTGATACCTACCTCTGTAATGGCACATTTGGTAAACGTGAACGGGTCCTGCCCTGATCGTCGCCACGGTGAGGAGATACTGATCGTGAACGATGATGTGTTGTTCTTTGCTGTTCTGGCACAGTTAGCGTTGTAGATTTACTTTCTCTAGTACTAGATCTATAACCTACTGGCAAGAGAGCAACAAAAGGAAATTAGAGAATAAAAGTCTGGGTTTGCAAATAATTCAGATGGTTAGTCCTTCCAGGAACACACATCTAGACGCTTACACAACTTTCAAGTTGTCATTCAGCTGTTGTACATCCCGACGTATCATGCAGCCAGGATAAATTACTAGCATTACCTTTCAATTCTACATGTACAAAGACAGAGAAACTGAGATGATTTTCATTATGTACTGGAAGATGTGGAGGAGAGGACTGAAAGAGTTTTCTGACTTGGGGAAGACTACCCAGCATAACTTGTATTTCAAAATTGTCATACAATAGCAAATACTTGAAAGGAATCCAAGCAATGTTGTTTTACCTCATCTAACAAATGGAGAAGGCATGCTTGTGTACAACAGCACGGACTCATCCAGGACTGCTCATATATAAAGCATCCTTTTGACTCTTGTTTCAGTTAAATACAAAGATGTTCTCCTACTGAACTTGGCCAAAGCCACCTACTTTCAAAAATTACAAGCATTAAGAGTATATTATATAGAATACTGGGTTGCATACTGTGCAGAACATTTTTTCCGAATACTGTGAATGAGCTGCAAAGTCACTCATAGTTCATTTTTACATAGGATATAAAAAAATTCAGCAGAATGTCAGTACATTTTAAAGTGTTGATATTCCTGTGCTTTTTTCCATGTAGCACACTGTTTGCCTTGTTATACACTTTGAATTCCATCCTAAAACAGACAATGAAGCACAGTAAGATGAGCAGCTTTCAAAAGGTGCCCGTTATCTTTCCAAAAGAGCCTAAGGAGATTTGCTCAGACTTCATTCACTCACTTCTAGACGTTTAAATTAGATTACAAGAATCCCTTGACAGAAAACCCTGTCTTGACATAAAGAGTCGTCCCTTAAGTCATCCTTTAATGACTTCATAAATTATTCTTTAGATTCCAAAATAATAATTTTGCTGCTGCTTTGGATTTGTCTAGCATGAAGTTCCTGTAATGTGTTATTTTCTTCAGCCAGAAAAACAGTCTGTATCAGAAATCTTCTTTTCATGCAGGAAAAGACTATGATTTAGTCACTCAATCGTCAGTTGGATAAATTAAATAAGTTGCACTTTTTAAGGATCATGTTATAGTTTTGAGTTTGGGGTTTTTTTTATATTTCGTATAATTTTTGTAATTCTTGTAGTTCATCTCTGTTCTTCTCCCAAATTGTTAAAACCCTCCTAAAAGTTTGGCCCATATACAGAGTCTGTATTAGGCTTGGTCACGTATTCAATGACACTTAATAATGCTGTTCTGGTTTAACTGCTCCTGTTTAACTGCAAGTCTGAACCCTGATCACAAACATCAGGGAAACCTTCATGTTTTTTTTTCCAAATTGCTCATCAGTTTACCAACAGATCCTGACGGCCATGTAACTTAGTAATACAAAACTGAGAACAGGGGCCTACTAGATGATGCATTTTATCATTCAAGGAAATCTAAGACTGTTTTCCCTGGTTATACAGCTTATAACATCACAGCCTTCAGAACTGTGTCCACCTTTTATACAGTACTGAACAAACTAGCAGAAGTTTTCCAAAGATAACAGAAGAACACCTAGGTGCTGTAGTATCCTACAGTAGCTTTCAGCCTTACACCAGCTTTCCAGAAACTTCAGTAAATAAAAAAGATTGGCTTCAATAAGTTCTGTTGTCTTTAATACATTTACCACTACAAATGTGATAGGGAAGGCAGATAAGAAGGAGACAATGTTGAAGAAAAATTATTAGATAGTTTTATTACAGACTTTCTGGTTACTGTCAGCTAGAAAACATATGCAGAAAGACCTCTGCAAGTTCTGCTATCGTTTTGTCCAACTTTTGTGTCTTCTACTTTTTAGTATAGCAGCTTGTGCGAGAACATGAGAGAGAATTCTTTTCTTCATTTTTTGAAGCAGAGGGGTGGGATGAGGTTAGTAAATCAGGGAAACAAGAAGCACTATGAGTATTGATAGACCTTAGAGGGTAGGATTTGGCCCAAAGAAAAGCACTCCTCATAAGAACATATCTTGTAGCTCAGAAACAAACACCAGGGACGATAATGTTGAGTGCAGGTGTGTGCTGTTCTCAAACAACACAGAGTTAGACATGTCAAATAAAAATAATAAGCCATTTAATACTTAAAAAGTGACATTAGTCAAGTTTGGGGAGGGTGGGGGCTATTTTTTGAAAACCAGAGAAAACACAGGGAAAAAATTTTTGGGAGAATTCACTTGTAGCTACAAAACAGAGCTCACTGGTAGCTACAAAACCAGCAAATGCTTGGTCCTTAAAGAGCATTTTTCATTGCAAAGCTGTACAGAGTACCGACTGCAAAATAAGCCTGTAAAAGTTGATGAAAGTATCTACCAAGGTTTATCAACCTTTTGACAAAGAAGGACTCCAATGTTTAGCAGGTTTTGATGTACTGTGATGCTGGAGTACCTTACCTGCTGAAAAAGCGTTTCAGAGTTATGGTAATAAAATTAGAAAGAAACATGAGGATCTTGCTGATTTCAGAACAAGGACTGGGTGTAAATTTTGAAGTAAAAGAGGGACTCACCCAGGACTTCAATGGAGATTCCCTCATCTCATGTACTAAGGTTGCTGCAGAAAATGTCTGGGTTTTTTGTGAGTGGAAGGCAAAAGATTACAGACGACAAAAGCTGGATGTGTTCCATTTAATAACTAAATCTAAGCTGTATGTGCTAAAATATATTTAATTTTCCAAACAAGCTTGTTTTAGATAAAATCCTGTCATCTCTATCAGAAGGAATGCTTGCTTACATTTATTTAACACTAAAATCAAAGAAATTCAAAACTTCTTTCCAAGCTTTAGGCAACCATACTGAAATACATATAATTTAAATATTAAAAAAATATATAAATTTTAGTTTAAAATATATTTTAGAGTATCTCTAGTCTGCCTAAAAAAATATACCTAGAATTATCCTGTACACGTAAAAATCTGGTATAGAAAGATTATTTTATCCTATATATTCTTCATAGCCAAGCTATCCAGAGGACAATATCTGAAACTTGTGCATCGTGTGTACACAGAGCTTACAGAACAGACAGAGCCACAGTAATTCACGTTTATTCTAAATATTAGTTCAAGTATTGTCAAGTTGGTCAAATCGCATCCATACTTCCACAGTGACCATGACAGTGACAGCAACAGTAACATTTCTTCATATCCTCAAACACAAAGGCTCTGCGCTCTCCGAGTGAGCAGAGGAATTTTTTGCATGGACCAGCATGACAGCAGCAATCAAGCTTATGGTAGTTTATGCAGAAGAAGTTTCTCAGTTGCTCATGGGAAACTGTCAGGTGTGACATGAAATGGAAGCTGGATGGATGATGAAAATGGTTCTAGCTGATGTTTGATACCAGAACTTTTTTTTTTTTTAAGACAATATGATACGGTGTTGTGTTGATGGCACCCTGCTGCTACGGGAGGAAGGTAAGTACGATGCAACCATTTATACAGATTAGATACGATAGAAAAATAAATTGCTCTGAGGAGTTACCCATAGATAAACAATACAGCTTATTAAAATACCCTTTGGGTTATTGCCAGCTGTATATCAGCTTTTTTTCTTTTTCATTAAGAAAGTTACTGAAGTTTTGGTTAAAAAGATAGGCCTCAAAACCTGTTTTGATTTTATTAAATTCTTTACTGATCCTTTACTGACCCTTCCTATATACTTAGCACTGGTGAGGCCACATAGTACTGGGATCCCCAGTGAAAGACCGGCATGGAGTTACCGGTGTGAGTCCAGCTCAGGATCACAAAGATAATTAAGAGACTGGAACATATTCTCATATGAGGAGAGGCTAAGAGATTTAAAATAATATTTTCTTCATGTAAATAGATGTAGCCATACCACAAAACCCCGTCAAAAATCAGTTCTGCTAAAGCTGAGCTTAAGTTAGTGTTAAATAAATTTACTTTCAGCTGTTGATATAAACTCCTATGAACAGTTCTATGAACTGATTTTAAAAATATATATATATTTCACTGCAAGACACTTATAATAAATGAGGAGAGTACAATTATATGAAAGATAAGACACATTTATGATATGACAAGGGAAAAATATTTTTTTAAACTATTCTTGAAGGTATCAAAGTGTCATTATTTTTGTCTTGTATTATTTTGTCTATGTAGTAGACTCTATTTCCAATGACAAGCAGTGATTCTTTGCAGCTGCTGAAAACTTTAGGAAAATAGTTTTCTCTGTTATTACTAAATGCTAATACTGCATTTGCCTCAGTAATTGGTAGGACATTTGAAATTATAGTTTTAAGGATTTCCAATGTTAGTTAAATTAGCCGAAATATTTTCATCATTCCTTTTTTCGCTTATGGAGGTGATCAAGTGAACTTTTGTGCTTCTACATTTTGCAGTTATGTGTCTTTTTTAAAAAATGAGCAATAATGTTTGTGAAAATCTTGAGATATTAAGAAGGCAAAATAACTTCCTTCCTTTCTGAATACTTCAAGAAAAAGAAAAAATTAACTCTAAGAATATAATTTAAAAAACAACAGACCTTATTTATCATATATAAGCACCATGGTGGGTAACATCGGCATGTAAGTGGTAAAGGAAGGAAAAGGAGCTTTAAAAGGAAACATTTTCTTTTGCGTCACACATTGTAAACTCAATTTTTATATTCTTACTTCTGTTGAGAAGGAGTATCTTAATCCTAGAATGAACCAGTTGAAGCCAATAGAGGCTATGCCAAAATGGTCCAAGAGTGCCCCTGAGCTGCATCATCATCCTACATTATTGGGAAATACGGATATTCGTCACTCCCTCCCACACGCACAACTTGCAGGAGAACGTGTGAGAAATCTGGACCAGACAAGAGCTGCAGTGCACTGTCGTGAGGTCCATGGTACTGGGGGGCAGGAGAAGGGAAGGGGTAAAGACCCTGCAGCACAAGGGACTTGTATGCAACTTAGTTTTAACAG